TGCCATCATGCTACACTGAACTGCTCCTCTTGCCTATTTTTTTTTTTTTATTACGGGAAAAAAAAATCAGCAAATTAAGCATACAGCTCTTTTTCCTGGACTATTTAGAAAACAGACTGAAATTCTTTTCCAAGGACTGTTGTGGGAACAACTTTTTATCTTTGGTATCCTAAATTGCTCCTGTAACAGAAATAATTGACATTGTGGATCTTGCTCATTAGTGGTCATGTTTCCTCCTTGATAAAGATGACAGTGGACAAACCAGAAAGTGACCTTGCTTAGTGTCTTTTAAAACTTGGAAAACTGAAAAGTTATATCACATGCTGCCTACAGGACTTTCATTACTGTTGTTCATTTTATCATTTCATTGTTTATCAACTAGTGGTGACATAGTGTTTTGTCTGAATTGGATACTGCATCTCCACTTTGGGAAGATCTGAGGAACATAATGAACATTGCAGAGTGTGGGAAAGCCGAAGGCGTTCAGACTTGTGTAGGGCCAGCAGAAAAGAGCTGGCTTAGGACAGTTAAAATTGCACTGTACCCCAAATAAGTAGGGTATCAAGGGCTAAAATCAGTGGAGTTAATGTGCACCACAGGGTGAATGGTTAGTTTTGAGCGAAAAAGTTACTGCTGTTTATCACCATTTTGTTTTACAGTTGGAGAATAAAAATAACTTACCTAACCCTTATGATGTAAGCAAAACAGTTTATGGGCCTTGCATGATTTAGCTTCAGAGTTGAAACTAAATAATGTTTTGAGTATCACATCTGCTGTGCTGAATGATGATTTAGCTACTAGCTTTATGCTCTGCAGCAGCCATCAGCAGCTGGTTTTGCTCTGGCAAGAAATCTTAAGTGTTAATTTTAACTGGTGCTTTCTCAGTTACTATTTTTTTTTCTTCAATGTATCAGTTTGATTGTGGCCATGTTTTGCATGCACCTACTCTCACTGCATGTTTTTATGACTGGCTAATGTCAACAGAGCTGTTGTTCACGTTGCTTTATGAAAGACCAAAAATGAACTTTCTCACCATGTAAGAAACAGCTAGCATGTAACCTCATAGACTTGCTGTTCTGTCATGAAGCATATGAAATAGGTTGAAAGTAGGATTTTTTAGTGCTCAGATTTCATCTGAGTACTGTAGAATACTTCTTGTTTTGTTTTACTTTGCTTGTAGGCATGTAATTTTGGAATTCAGAAAAAAAAAGCACTAAAACTATTGAGCACTGGTGGTATGCCTTTTTTTTTTTTTAAACTGCAAAATGATCTGGGACCTTAGAGAGTTATGAGGTTAAACTAATCTTGAGACCATATATCAATTATTCAGTTCCATTGTGCAATGTACACTTCAGTTACTTTTCTATCAGTCTGCAGACACGGGTGTATCCAAACATTGAAACTAATGTGTACTGTATAGTGTTGTACATGAATGTTTGTGTTTTATATACCACATGCAAAATGTCAATATGCACTATTTAAATGTTTTAAATAATATATTCCTCCTTTATAATGCTTAAATCTATATGATTCCAATATTTTTATAAGTGAGTGAGTGATCAGACTGGTTCCAATTCAGAATTAACAGCTGCTTTGTGTTTGTTATGCAGTGTTTGGCTGTTTATTCAGTATAGTAGATAAGCATGGCAACAGTTATGCTGAGTGTGTTTTGTGCCATCCTTGTTGAGCAATAAATAAATGGTAGAACTAGGCATTTTGTGATATAACAGTTTTACTTTGGTAAAAGCAAAACCTATATATCTATATGGATATATAGATATGGAATATATATAACTAAACCAGATATAATTGCATTGCTATGTCTGGTGCTCATTGTATAGACTTTTATAATAAAAGTACCTTAACCTTTATTGTACCTACCTTTGTTTCTCATCATCCTTTCTCCTCCACTGCCCCCTCTTCACAAGTGCTGAGTGCTCCACTATTCCTGTACGTGTCTGTAGTTCCAGGTCTGAGTCAGTCCAGGCTGAGACAGGCCTGAATTCCTGCCTGCCAGCAGAGCCTTCTGCACAGGGGGTGCCTCAGGTGCTTCAGCCCTTGCTGAAGGGGCAGCGGTTGAAGTCTTATTCTTATTCTACCTGTTCAGACTGTGCTTCTCAGCAGAGACAGCAGCAAAGTGTCCAGAGCAGCTCCTGAGCTGACAGCTGGGCTTGCGGTGCCACCTGGGCCTCGTTCCTGCTGTGCGAGCAAACTGTGAGTCTCGCTCCTCCCTGCTCCAGCAAGTAGCAACTTTGGGAGTAGATGGGACAGAGAGCTGATTCAGCCCTCACTGGGCTCATTAATTCACTGCCAGTGAATGTTCTTCCTGCTGCTGAGCAGTATTTGGTCGTGTCTCTATGTCCACGATGATCTCTGAGCCTTAAAATCAGCCACTGCCGTGTGTGTGGCCAGAGCAGTTCCTGCACACATGTAAGCACAAGAGGATGCTTTTCCTCTGGACCAAGTAGATTTTTTTCGTAGTATATTGATGAAAAGTGATTGAGGTCTTTCAAACTGACTTTTCTGTGGTATTTTGTCTTAAGTCCACCTTTCCTCAGCCTAAGGCTTGGCAGGGGACAGAGGAACTCTTGAAGGTGAAGACTCTGCTTGTGGATGTGTGGCAGTGCAGGTAAATGGGAAGAAAGAAAAACAACTAGGAAGCTGAGGGAGCAAGTGAGGGAGAGGAGACAGAAGGCAGCCTCTGGGTGGGACTGAATGATCTTCCCTGTGACCACATCTTTCCTCTGAAGATGGGGGGAAAAAGAAAGCACAAGTTCTTAGGACACTGGCTTGAAGAATGATCAAGGTGTTGCAGATCTGTTCTTCAAACCTCCATTTTTTCCTTAGCATTAGTTATTCAGCGAAGCTTGCACTGATGAAGATGCTAATGAGAAGACAAAAGTCCCTCAAATAGTGGCTTGTGGGGGAACTGTTTAAAATCCATGTGCTACAAAGCAATGACCTAATATTTTAATGAAGGAAAATAACCCTATGTTGAACACCATTAGCCAAAATGGAGCAGAAATATATTTCTGAGGGTGCAAAAACTCAGTGATACTGGGACAAGACTAGATGAAGAACCGATTCTGAGAAAATACCAGTCTCTAGTATTCCAAGCTTTACCTCTTTGAACAGGTTTGTTTGAGCTGTTATGTGACTGCAGGGTGAGAAGCTTGCTGGGAGAAGTGAGGCAGGATATAAGAAGGGATTCCTGTGCCCCAGAGGAATAGAGGAAGGATGAGGAGTGCTTGGAAGCTTTTATGAAGCTCTGGGTAAGTAACTGTGGGTAAAGGTTTCAAGACCTCTTTGTGCAAGAGGGGCTGCCAGGAGGAGGAAAGGTCGGAGATGCCAAAGGTGCAATCCATCTGTTTTCCTGCATGTCAGGCTATTGAGTAATCCAGAGAAACAGGTCATCAGTGACGTGTGTTATCTGGGACACTGCAGGGCAACAGGAACCCCCGGGACGGGAAGACCGGGTTTTATTTTAAACTGGTCCCTCAGAAGAGACAGGTTGTCTGGGCTTGGCCAGGAGACTGAAGTACAGGATCAGTGAACCCTGACAGGCAAAGCTGTGCATGATGACCTCATGCTCCAGGGCTGAAGTGATCACCACCCTCTGGGTCCCTCCAAATGCCTGTCTGCTCCCCTCTCCATGAGACTGCTCCTCTGAGTGGGATCAGATGCAGAGAGGCCAGAGAACATGAGGTAGTTTCTTAGTGCTCTGCAGGACAAAAGGCTTTATAGTATGATAAATCCCTGTAGGATTTAAGTAAGTTTATGTAAGTTTTGGGATACTTTGGAGGCTGGGGTTGCATGTCAGGTGTGAGCTGAGATGTCCAGCAGCAGCACTCCACTAGGGCAGGGACAACATGCTGTAGGTGGGGTGTCACAGCCTGGTGATGGCCCCGTGTTTGGACATGTGTTTAATTTCTTCCTGTGGCTGAGTCCCAGCAAAGAACAAATATTAATGACTACATAGGATTAGATAGTTTCCAGCCTGAACATAACACCTTGTCTCCAAGGCAACGGCTATAAATTGATTTAGGAATAAAAAGGATGTTCTGAAAAATCAAGCTGGTGCCAGTGTGAAGCAAATCGCCCTCTAGTGGTTGCAGCTGTTAAGGCCTGACCAAAATAAAAGATGGATTGACTATTTCCTAAAACAATACAATGTATTTTTTTCTTCTCTGAAGGCAACAGCAACTTGTTTTGGAAGCAACAGGTGCCTGGGACAGGGATTCCTGAGAGATGAGCATTAACCTGGGCAGCAGATGCACCAGCAAAAGTTAAGTGGTCTGGGCAAGTGAGGGCTAATGCCCCAGGTGCTCACGACCTGCTCTCCTGGTCACACATCTGTGCTTCACAGCAGCCTCAAGACAAGGCAGGGGAATGGATTTTGTACAGGCATTTTTTAGGGCTGCCTACCCAGAACTCTAACAAGGCTGGTCAGTTCTTCTCAGGGTTGAAGCAGCACCTGAAACCGTCAGAGAAAAGACCCAGATGCTGCAATGGTATATATATTTATTAACATTCCT